GTTGCAATGGAAAGAAATGGTAATGTAATGTAAGAGCAACAGTACAAAAAAGGACTGTGTTTCAAAGGCTTGCTCGAGTGGCAAACTCAGGCACGTTTATTCCCTCTTCCTGCTGTTGAGATACGAACACTCAGCCTGCAAAATGCCTTTTCCAATCTGTAACTCCTCCTATTCTACCACAAGAACGGGTCTTGCTTGCGATGCTAGCTGACCTGCTTTCGTGAAGGCTCTCCCAGCTCTTTGCAAAGTTCAGTTACCAATTGTGTAGTATCTTGTGAGACATTGTAGTACCTCTAAGAGGGAATTTGGGGAGGGAATTTGCTACCAATGTCCAAGATGAAATCCTGTAGTAAGGATGCAGTTGGGAAGAGGAAGACAGACAGCACTGTAACAGTGGCACACTCCTGCCAGAGGGATATTCCAGCTAGCTTCTCCTGCCTTCTCTGTTGTCCCGTAAAATCTACAGTGGCTTCTGGAAGGATGAATAATAGAGTCTGATCCCAGCACTGGAGCGGTAAATGCAGACTAGAATTAGTTCTTGATAAGGTCTGTCTGCTTCTCAAGGAATGTAGTGGAACAGTTTTGCTCAAATACAGCTCACTTATCGAGAAAAAAGAAAAAGGCCACAATATCTGAAAATTAACTGTTGAATTCATTATGCATTTTTCAAGGGAGCAAGGACTGGAAAAATCAGAATGTTTTTCCTCAGTATTTTCTAAACTAAACAAATATTTGGTCTAAATGGAGGCTGTATTTCTGAAATTGGCCTATATTTCATGATAAAATTTTAGAATATATTTTTAAACCTTGAGATGGGTTGTATGAAATATTTCCAATGTTTCCAATAATCTAGAATGATCTTTGATTCTCATTTATCTGAGAAAACAGAAAGTTGTTTGTTTGTTTGTTTGTTTGCTTTGCTCTGGATAGATCCAAAACAACATTTTCTGTAATTTTAATTTTACTCAGAGAACTAAAGATTTTCCTATCTCTCTTCTTAAGTCTTTTAATGAAAACTCATATATTGACTATACTCAAGCTGCCTATAGTAAACATTTTGCTACGAAGAAATCTTAATTATTCCACATAGGAAGGATAGGAGAAGCTACATCTTCTTGCCAAATCTGTGATTTTTATGTGTTTGCGGAGTCATCAATCAAAACTGTCAGCGTAATGACTTGTAAGAGCTGAAGCCGGCAATTCGTCAAATCGTATTTCTGGCAGGCCAGACATCGACACAAGTTTATCTGTTCCCTTATCGCAGCTAATGAATCTGGCATGCTTGTACTGACTGCAACAGATACCACGGTATGGCACCACTTTTAAATAGAGTAGGAATTATAAAGAGGAGAGATAGGAATATTCAGAATTCCACTGTGATTACATATTATTTAGCATTCTAACTGTAGGATCTGTAGTGCCACCATGTCATTTCAGATTTCAACTGCATCCGTATTTGGGTGCTCTCTCTGGTAGTCTCTGTCTCGTGTTTCCCCTACAAATGGGTACAGCAGCTGATTCGCATCTTGAAGGCAGCACGTCTAAAATCAATAATAACCATAATGCCCCTTAGATACTGCCTTGCTGTTTGACAGCAGGAAAAGGCTGCCTTTTAGTAAATGATTTGTGGGAATATTTTGCAGGGTTGTTATTGCTGTCATCTTTAATACAACCTGCTTGTTCAAAGAGCTTGTTCTAATGATGTGCTTGCTCTTTTTGTCTCAACTGCTTCAGCTTTAGGAACCTTTCATAAAGTCTCATTATATTTTTCATTTCTCTTTGTTTATCGCTTTCCTCCATTTCTCTTATTGCAGTAGCTTCTTTGGGCACATTCCACATCAGTTCTGGCTTCAGAATGAAGAGGGAACTGATGCTGGAAACATATACTTCTGTGTGAAAAAGCAGCACATGGCCTCTA